AGGGACACGGAGCCAAGAAAGAGCCTGTGAGAGGGCACATTTGGGCTGAGTCCTGAGATAAGAAGGAGCCAAGTGAGGCAGGACGAGAGGGACAGAGAGCACCAAAGGCCCCTACAGAAGTGACCACCAAGTCCTGCCGGAAAACTGCACTGGGCAGGGTGGGGACACAGTGAGCAGCCGGGTGCACCTGCAGGGTGGGGAGAAGCAGGGCCTGCAGGGAGAGCCAGGCAGGCAGGGGCAGCATCCCGGTGCAGAGACGGGGTGTGCTGCTCCCATCACACTCACCTTGGGGTCTCACTAGAGGCAGTAACTCTGTGCAGACGTCGCGGGTGCCGAAAAAGTTCGTCTTCATGGTCATGTGCGCTTGAACATGGAAGGGCGTGGGGTCACTAGCTTTTAGGGGAGAAGGAGAGCAGAGGTAAATTAGCCTTGGGGCTAAATTCCATAGGATGAGAGCAATACACCCCGCAAAAAATAAAGCGTGTCAGGATTCTGGTGAATTGGGCCCTGGAGTGTGGGTGGCCCCGTCGCAGTATATGGCCCAGGCCAATCCCCTGGTTTGAGAACGTTCCTCTCGGTACTTCTGACAGGTGGTTCCACTGGTGAGGGTGGGTGAAACGTGAGGGCTGCATCTCCCGTGTCTATTTTTATTTTCTTTGTTAATGTTTTATCTGTCAGTCTAAAGTTCTTCCATACTGTCTAATTTCAGAAACCCTGGACAAGAAACCCAGGGTATCGAAAGTTTCTGAAACTCTAATTTCAGAAATTTTGGATACCCTGAACAAGATCCCCAGGTTTCTGAGCCAGGGCACCACCAAGTTCCCGTCCTCCGAAGGACCCTTCCCCTCCTGAGAACTCTGCCTCTCCTGGCAGCTCCTGCCCTCCCTGTGCCCCCGGGAGCCTGTCAGGAACCTCCAGGGCCGGGTCCCCACAGCGCTTCTCTGAGGGGCGCACCCTCCTGGCAGAGGGTCTACCCCGGGTCACCTCCCCTCTGACCACAGCATTGACTTACGCTGAAAAACTATACCCGCGTTGTTGACCAGCACGTCCAGGCCCCCGTACTCCCTGCGCAGGAAGTCGCGCAGGGCGCGGATGCTCTGCGGGTCGTCGATGTCCAGCTGGTGGAAGCGCGGGCTCAGGCCCTCGGCCTGCAGCTGCTGCACGGCCGCCTGGCCCCGCGCCGGGTCCCGCGCCGTGAGCACCACGTCCCCCGAGAAGTGGCGGCACAGGTCCCGCACGATGGCCAAGCCGATGCCCTTGTTGGCCCCGGTCACCAGCGCCACGCGGCTGCCGGACGACATGGCAGAGCGGAGCGCGCAGGTCACCTGCGTGGAGAACCCGCGGAGCCTCTGACCACCCGGAGCAGGACTAGAGGCAGAGCAGCCTGGCAGAGGAACTTGTGGGATCCAAGGTACCGAGTGCCAGGAAACAGGGTCGAAGCCTCGGTCCCTCCCCTGGGAGGAGGGGCCATCTGTTCCCGCAGGTTTCTTAACGCCCAGCTCCGGGGTTCGCCCTCGGCCGGAGCTGAGCTGTCTTGGATCCAGGGTCTGGGCCCAGGGAGCGCTGCTCTCCCAGAACCTACCCAGGTGAAGGGTCAGTGGAGGGCTCCAGATTCACGGCATAGGGACGGGGGAAATGGAGCTACAAGCCTACAGGGAGGAAGCCGAGCGCTGAGAAATTGTGTGCGGCGTGCGCGCATCGTCCACTGCGCGTAGACCCCTTCGCTGGCGCAGGAGAATTTCAGCATCGGGTGTCGGGTGAGTGACTTAACAGGTGTGTTCAGCCTGAAGGGCCCTGATTCCCAGTGCGCCCCCCGGCGGTAGGAAATGTGTACTGCGGGACACAACCTTCAATGGGAATTTTACATTTAATCCTTCCTTAAGTTCTAGGACAGAAAACTTATCTCCATTTAGGTTCATCCAGGGAAGATGGATATGGGTACAGCTCTAGATTGATGTATGTATCTTTTCCTAGTGATTTCCGTGTCCCCACGACAAACTCCAACTGCAACAAAGTCCCAAAGGTGGGTCTGGGTGTGGGCTTAAAATCAGCTCTCGGCTCGGTGCCTGTGGCTCAAGCGGCTAAGGCGCCAGCCACATACACCTAAGGTGGCGGGCTCGAATCCCCAGTCCGGGCCTGCCAAACAACAATGACGGCTGCAACCAAAAAATGGCCAGGCGTTGTGGCGGGCGCCTGTGGTCCCAGCTACTTGGGAGGC